GTGAGAGGATTTACCAGAGACAGAGTGGGGAACAGAAAAGGTGGATTGATTGAAATACACTGCACAGGGGAGCAGTGGGTGATACAGGAGAGGTCTGCTGTGCCATGGGGGTCACCACCCTGGCTGGGGATCAAACTCAGGCTGCTACAATGGTGATAGTGATAACCATGACAGTGCCACAACAGAGGGCCTCTGACTTTTAAAAATAAGCATTTTTATTTTAGAATAGTTTTAGATTTTCAGAAAAAAATATGAAGATAGTACAGAAATCCCACATATTCCATACTATTGAAATATATGCTGTTACCTTACATTAGCGATGGCACCTTTTTCAGTTAACAACCGTTGTTGGTAACTTATTAACTGAAGCACATCCACTATTCAGATTTCACCTGTGTTCTGTTTTGTCTTGGGACCCACCTAGGATCCCACATTATATAAGTCATCCTCTGTCCCCGCTAGGCTCTGACTGTTTGTCACTTTCTTTGGTTTTGATCACCTGACAGTTTTGAGGTCAGGTGTTTTATATAATGGGCCTCAGCTTGGTTTGTGTGCTGTTTCCTTGTGGTTGGACAGAAGTCATGGGTTTGGGGAGGAAGACAACAGACGTGAATTCTGTTCTTATCACAGCATGTCAAGGTATGCCTGTCAGCATCACATCACAGTGGACATGAACCTTGATTGTCCGGCAGAGCTCAACATGGTCAGGTTTCTCCACTGTTGTTAATCTTTTTTCTTTTCTTTTTTCTTTCTGTACTGTCATTTTGGGAAGGAAACCATTCTGTGCATTCTGTGCTGTCCACACCCAAGGAGGGGGGCCTGTGTTCCATCTCCCTGAAGGCAGAGGAGCATTTACATAAATTATTTGAAATTCTTCATGGGGTGCTTGGTATTTATCCTGCATTTTAAAAAATCAGTTATTTTTATCAATGTGGACTAACATATTTACTTTATACTTTGAGTGATCTAATTCCAGTCTGTTTGGTTGCTGAAATTGTTCCAACTATGGCCATTGAAGCTCTTTCTGATAGTGCCTCAGACCCTTTGGCTTAACTTCTATAACTCTCGGCCATTTTTGCGTCATTTTTATTTATTGATTTTGAGCAATCTTGTTTGTTTTTTGGAAGAATGGTGTTAGAATCCAAGGTCTGGACATTAAGTGTGTCCTTGCTACTAGTGTGTCCTGAGTCTAGACTCTTTAACTTGTAGAAAAAGGAAATATATGTGTATACTATCAAATATATCCATATATACACATATCTGTACACATAAATATATGTATCATCTGTATCGATATTAAGGAATTCATACTATTTCCAGTCAAATTTATTACCATATCCATCATTGGCTCCTCCCACTCTTGTTTATCTAGAACCTTCCACTGCAACAGGGAGAAACCTGATTCCTACCATTTACCATTAGCTAACTTAATTGTTCAGTTCCAGTATTTGTATATAGTGGTTTCAGATTTAATCCATTCTCTCACCCATCATGGGAAACTATATTATCAAGTAGAACACAGTGCTTATTTGCAGTTCCTTTTGCTTTTAGTTTTACTGATTTCCAAAGTATGTAGGTAAGCACTCTTTCTTCTCCCCACTTTAGTGAGGGTGTTTCACACTTTTGTAACATAGTAGATTCTATTATCATTTTCTGCATTTCACCCCTGAATCTCCTGACCTCGTAAGTGATTTTTTCATAAAGTTGAGTGCATTAAGGTTCATTCTTCGTGCTGGTAAAGATCTATAGGCTCGGAAACCTATGTCTTATATCCACTCTTCTGGTTTCTAACAGAATTATTTCACTGCCCTAAAAAGTTCCCTGTGCTTTACTTACTTAATCATACTGCCCCCTCACTCAGCCCCTTGGCAACCAACAATTTAGTTATCATCTCTGTAGTTTTCCTTTATCCAGAATGCCGCACGTCCAGTATATAACTTTTTCAGACTTAATTATATGCATTTTAGAGCTATTCATGTCTTTTAGTGGCTTAATAAATCATTTCTTGTCTTTGTTGAATAATACTTCATTATATTGTTATACTACAAATTTGTTGATCCAGTCACCTATTTAAGGACATCTTGGTTGCTTCCAGTTTTTCATAATTCTAAGTAAAGCTGCTATAAACATTTGCATGCAGGTTTTTATGTGAACATACATTTTCAATGAAAAAATACCAGGAGGACAATTCGTGACTCATATGGTAAGGCTCTTTACTTTGTAAGAACCTATCGAAGTGCTTCCAAAGTAACTACATCATTTTTCATTCCTGAATTACTGTTGTTTCATACCCTTGTTAGTCATTGGTATTGTCAGGTTTTTGGATTTCAGTCATTCTACTAAGCAACCCAGCATGCCATTCACTAGCTCAGATACCTTGGTTCTCTCACTAAGTGAGAAAAATTTGCAAGAGAGATAGGCATTGATTGACTATGAGATTATAGAATTCTGGAAACACCCTATTTTAGTTCTTTCTTTCCTTTTTTTTTTTAATATTTATTTATTTATGCATATAGAACTGGAGCACAGGCTACAGGTGCAGGGGCTCTAAGAGGATTTACCAGAGACTGAGGATTCACCAGAGACAGAGTAGGGAGCAGAACAGGCAAGCAGTATGCTTCATATTGCTGAGGGAGAGACAGAAGAGGCCTGTTGCACCATGGTGCTCACCTCTGGGGGCCAGGGATCAAACTCACACTGAATGGCAGTCGCCAGCTTGTAGTGCTGTGCTTCAACCCGTTGAACCACCAGGGAGGGCCTAGTTCCCTCTCTCTTATATTTATTCTGTGCTAAAGACAATGATAAATATGACCTGAAACATTCCAAAAGAATGCTGCAGACTTCAATTTAGACATTTATATAAGGCACCTAAGGGACCCATAGTCATACAGTATTTTCTGTTAATTGTTCAGTGATTAAACTGCTTATAATATGCTAACTGGCGTTCTGGGTATAGTTTCGTCTTCAGTACACATACAGCCTAACTGGGGAGATAGTTCCAGCGCATCAAGCTATGATGGGAGAAATACAGGCTGCTTGAATCACCAATGTCAGGGCACCTTGCCAGTCTAGGATGGACCAGGGAAGGCTTCTTAGAAGAAGTGAACTCTAAGATGTGGCCGAAAGCCAGAATTGACTAACTATATCCCATGGGCCAAATCCAGCCCACTACCTGCTTTTGTGTAGCATGTGAGGTACGAATTGTTTTTACATTTTTAAACGTTCAAAAAGAATGAAAAAAGAATATTATGTTGTAATGTGAAAATTATGTAATATTCAAATTTCATTGTTCATAAGTAAGGTTTTGTTGGAATACAGCCACACTCACACTGTCTTTGTACTGGAACAGCAGAGTTGAATAGCTGCAAGATTGACTGTAGCCAGCAAAACCTGGGACATTTACTCAGTGATCCTTCACAGAAAATGTTTGCTGACTCCTGGCCACAGGCTGGGTAGGACAAAACTGTGTAAAGTAGAATGAGGAAGAAGGAAGTACGTTTCTGATGGGATCTTTATACAACAGCCAACAACTTTGACAGACCATATGGCATTCAGGATCCAGACTGGGAAGAGCCAGTGAGGAAGCTTTAAAAGGTCGTGATGTGCAAGATTTGCTTCTTAGAAAAATTCCTCTGTGGGAGGATTGAAAAAGGAGGCAGGGGGCCCTCCCTGGTGGCGCAGTGGGTTAAAGTGCAGCCGCAGGCCGCAGCCACTGGCCCCAATCGCTTCAGTGCACGTTTGATCCCCACCCCGGAGGTGACCCACATGGTGCGGCAGACCTCTCCCGACCTACCCGCTGCTCCCCTCAGCAGTGTACTTCCTTGATCTGCCTGTTCTGCTCCCTGCTCTGTCTCTGGTGAGTCCTCTCACCCCCTGTACCTCTGGCCTGTACCCCACTTCTGTATGAATAAATAAATCTTTAAAAAGAAAAAGAAAAAGGAGGCAGGGAGATCAGCTGAAACTTTTGGAGTCGTGGTGAGGACAGTGCCTTGTGTGTGTGTGTGTGGGGTGAATATGTTGATTTGAGAAGCTTTTAGGAGGCAAAATTAAAGGGCTTTGGTGATTGATTAGAAACACTATATGTAATTGTTTTTTGCCTTTACTGACTGTGTTTTCTTTCCAATGCCAAGTTTGTTTCTTTTTTGGCTCATGTGAATGGTGAACGCATGGTTGAAAAATTTGCATTTAGTAGTGGTCTCCACAACAAGATTCTGTAGTGATGTTCCATGCCTCCGTGCATCCTGGGACTTGTGTATTCGAGCAGCCTCTCTCTGTGGTCTCTCTCTGCTTTCTGTCAGCAAGAGATTGGACTTCTCAGGAGCAGAGATGTTATCGGCACATTAATTTTCCTTTTCAGATTTATCATTTATCTTGGTTTAACGACTTTCCCCAAACACTTCTTTGTTGAAAATCTTGGGTCTCTTTGGTGTTCAAGAAATTTGTTGACAGTGAAAAGCACTTCTCTTTCTTTAGAATTCTCTAGACCCGTTCACTTTTAGACCTCTGACCCTTGCCTTTTTCTTCCTTGAAGTTTCACTGGGAGTAAATGGTAATAAGATAATTTATATTTTATGATAAGCTGTGTGGTTCTCAAAGTGCTTACTCACATGCCAACTCTGAGCCCTGTGATAAGCCTGTAAGGGAGGCAGAACCAGTCAAGTTACTGACATCAAGAGGCCGATGACTCAGCCAAAGTGAATAGTTGGTCTGGGATAGAACTTAGGTCTGTAGATTTCAGAGTTTTTTTCCTATAATGAGCTGATTCCAAGCAAAGGAGATCAGGCTGGCTGGAGTAGTTATGTTTTGTGCAAAGACATCTGGATGAAGTGTTTCTTCCCGCTTTGTATGTGCTCTGAAGAACCTTACCTGGACACCAGTGGAGGCCTGCTCTGTGCTCAAACAACACGCGGCGTACCAATAATTCCTGGACTACAGTTTGATAAGCTGTGGTTTGTGTGAAAGCATATGTAAGAGCGCTTTAATTTCTTCCTCCTCTCTAGGTGCCTCTCACTTGGATGACTCAAGGCCTAATGGGAAAGGTCTGCCCATGGACCAGAGCTCCTGGAGTCAGGATAAATCAGAACACTTGCCCCCAAGGTAATGCATCTCCTCCTTCGTTTGTACCTGGCAGGGGCACGGTTTTTCTCTTCATGGAACTGAGACCATTACTGTATGTGACAGCAGTTGTCCCAGGGTAGTTGGCCAGAGTCCTGTCGGACATTTGTCACGCACTCACCGTGTATGCCGGGCACCATGGGCTTTCATGGAAGCTCTTAATTCTAGAGGTACTTGCCACTGTTTTCTCTGTTTTATAGCTAAGGAAACTCAGATGAAGCGGGGTTATTTATAATTAACCCAAGACCCAGGACGAGGGAGTAGCAGATCTAGGATTTGAAACTGTGGATCTAACCCTACCTTAGCAATGTAGACTAGAAGCATTTTGGCTTCTCCCTTGCATGCTTTTAGAAAGAAGTTTTCTAACTTTGAAGGTACTTTCTTTTGCAGTTGTTTTTTCCTTTTTCCATTTTATTTATTGATTTATTTATTAATAATATAATAGTTTATTTTTACATCACTTTGTGCCTTCTTCCATCTCAGTTGTAATCCCCGTGGGCTCCTCATCACCAAATCACCCGTATGCCATCACCATAATCCATGTTTTTTCCTTTTTCCATTTTTTATTTACTCCTTTTAACTGGCATGCTGTTACGTTTTGTCTGTACTCCATTGCCCCCTGCTGATCATAGCCAGAACCATCTGGTTAAGACGATGATAGTGCTTTCTTGTCTGGGTCAGGATTTTATTTATGCACTTAAACAACAAGGAATTTAAGCATACCTAGAACTTTCATCCCCACTTCAGAGCCTTCTTGTTGTCTTCCTAGATAGATTAAAAATAACCTCACTTAGTATGTACACGATGACAGGAATATCAAATATCTGGCATCTCCTAAGCCTTAGACATCTTAATGTGTGACCTTTAGAAACATTTCTTGAGCTATTAACAAGGTTCTGTTAGGAAAATGTGTTGAATTTTGCTTACCTTGAAATGTTGTCATTTGAATAATTTTTAGTATGGTGATTAAAACTACACAAATAATAAAATTTTCATTGCCTTTTAAAAACTTTTGGTATGATTCCTGTGCAATAGAGAAGCTAAATTATCAAGTCAGAGGATCTGGGTAGCTGTATGGCCTTGTTATGTAAGGCACTTAGGTCTGGAGTACACTGTCAGATCTGAATTGTACCCTGTACCCTGTCACCCCATGTAGCTGGAGGGGGCCGAGGGGTCACTGGTGATGCTGAGTCTGATTTTTCTCTTATGAATAATGAAAGGGGGCCCTCCCTGCTGGTGCAGTGGGTTAAAGCGTAGCACTACGAAGTGATCCACAACCACTGCAGCAGGAGTTTTATCCCTCGCTGGGAGCGGACTGACATGGCGCGGCAGACGTCTCCTGTGTCACCTGCTGCTCTTGTGCATTTCCAATCATCCACCTGTTCTGTTCCTCACTCTGCCTCTGGTGAATCCTCTTACTCCCTGCGCCTCTGATCTGTACTCCAGTCCTTGCATTTATAAGTATTTTTTAAAAAGAAAAATGAAAGCATTCAGTTCAGTTACCTGCAAAGTCCTCTCCTGGCAGTGAGAATCTGAATATGATCTCAGAAAAATCTCTGGACCAGTGTACTCTGCAATAAAAACATGTGACTTGACTTATTCCACTGAGATAGTGTCAATAAATAAGTCTCACTTTGGCCTCCTTTAGTTTTTGACTAAATTTGACATATTTCCCTAGTGAAATCTCACCGATAGCTCAAGAAATGTTCACTGAAATTCACAAATTAAGATGAATGTGCAGAAATGTCTAGTTTTTTGTTTGAATTTTGTCATGGAGGAGTCATGAACACATGATAATTTTGGTGTTGTTTTTCTAGACAGAATAAATCCAAGTCTGAAATTACGGACATGGTTCGCTCCTCCACCTTCATGGTGTCAGACAAGGCTCATATTTTATCAATGCAGAAGTTTGGACTACGAGAGACGATTGTGAAATCACACCTAGTACAGAAAGAAGAGGATTATACCTACATCCAGAACTTCAGGTCACTAACTGGGTCTTAGACTGTTTTCAAAGCAAAAGGGTTATTCAGTTTTCTGAAATTGAAGCCTTCCCCCCTCCTCCCATCCCCTGGATCTGAAGCGGATCCTTCCGCCGTAGTCTCTCTCATCCTTTCCTAAATGAATGGTCTCCTTTCTCTCTTCATTAGCAGGTATGTAGTCTGTGTCTTCTCTGGCCAGACATTGCACAGGGGTGGTACTGTGGGGTGACAGAACTTGTAAGTAGTTACAGGCGTATTAGAAGCGGTCGAGGAGTAATATCCTATTTTTTTGTGTAACTCTCACTCTGAGCCTTTGCGAGTCACTTAACCTGAAGTCAGCAAAGTGGAATTAGTGTTTGGTAATTTTTCAGACAAGATTACTGAAAGGCAAATGAAAAGGTCATAGGGTTCTGTTAGGTCTTCTAAAATGATCACACTGGGAGAATGTAACAAGGTGATACTGCTTTCAGGGATGCGAACAGTGAGTTCTGGTAACCCTGGTGTTGCACTCATATTGGAAATTAATGACCAAGGCACTTTTTCTCTTTATCATTCTATCATATACATAGGCTAAAGGATCATTTTGTGGGTTATGTATGGCTCTCAAATGTTTGTTTCAGCGAAGTAGGCCTCGTTCATAGAAGGCGTATACTGTTGGAAGTTATCACACCAACAAGTAGCATGGCAGATTACCCCTTGGTGCCTTAGTCATCAGTCTTGGTTAGAGGTGACAATTCTCATGTTTTAACTTCCATCCCGGAGAGACTGAAACCAAGCAGAATCAGGCTACAGTGCTTTCTCCTCTCATCTCGATAGTCCCTCATGAGCAACGGATTGATTCTCTTTGTTAACAGGTTTTTTGTGGGAACGTACAATGTGAACGGCCAGTCCCCCAAAGAATGCCTCCGGCCCTGGCTCAGCCAGGGTATCCAGGCCCCGGATGTATACTGCATAGGGTAAGTGTTTCTCCTCTGGTTGCCTCTGTATCCATAAGAACAGACAGCTGTGGTGGAAGGGATGGCCAATGGGAGGGCAGTAACTGAGTTTTCACAGCAGGTGAAGGGGTTGAAAATGAGCAGTCACGGTAATAGCTGTTCCTCTACTTGGTGTTCTCTCTCATAGTGAACAGATTTCTTGCCCTGTTAAAATGACATGGTTAGTATATAAATGCTACTATATAATTTTTAGTTTAACCCTCAGTGCATCTTTCAGGGACATGAGCACTGAGTTATGGCAACACTGGTGTTGCTCTCCTTTGGAAAGTAATTAAGCTAAGTAGGCCTAGTTCACAAAGGCCTATACTGTTTGAAGGTATCGCACCAACAGATAGCATGGCTGACTTTCCTTACTTGGACATTAAACATCTTGTTGGTCACTAAGCTGGGAAGGAAGGCTAACTTAAAAAAAAAATTTCAGCTCACTATCCTGCCCACCTATAACTACTTCTAATAGGTCACTTCTAATAGTTTCCAGGAACTTGATCTCAGTAAGGAGGCCTTTTTCTTCCATGATACCCCAAAGGAGGAAGAGTGGTTTAAAGCTGTATCAGAGGGGCTTCATCCAGATGCAAAATACGCAAAGGTAAGACAGAAATCAGGGACCTTTTAATTTTATGTTGCCACGCAAGGAAGTTTAAGACATTTCCCTCCTCTGCCCTGACCCTTACCCTAAGCCAGGCCTACTTATCCACTAGTTTCAGTCCCAGGTCCTACAGAAGGGGCACCTCAGGGTGGGAAGGATGCGGGGTCTTGGCACTTGTAGGCCATGTAGGTTACACAGCAGGCTCAGGGAGTCAAACAGGTGACTGGCCCTGTGTCATCTATGGAGCTGCAAAGGGGACGTGTTAATACTCTTAGCCAGCTTCGAGATAACTTTTCCTCTGGGACATTTACTCCTCTGGAGAAGGAAAGCTGGGTAAGGGTTTGACTTCTGCTTAATGCCATGACTTGAATGTTTGGCTCTGCCGTCCAGGTGAAGCTCGTCCGGCTCGTCGGGATTATGCTGCTTTTATACGTCAGGCACGAACACGCAGCGCACATCTCAGAAGTAGAAGCTGAGACTGTGGGGACTGGAATCATGGGGAGAATGGTGAGTTCTTGGGTGATATGTTTGGCTCATGGAGAGCCTTGGCTCCCAGGATTTTGACCCTGCTTTTCTCAAGGCTGTAACAGCTTGTGCCCCAATTGGAGGGTGCTAGGATTACAAAAAGACTTGCATCCTTGAGCAGACTATTTAGAATTGATGCTTGAGTGAATGGTGGGCTGGTTTGCCAAGCAAGCGGGGTCTGTGTTCACTCCTTACTGATGTCTCTTGTTGATCCTCCCATCTAGCCCGTGAAAGGTATCACAGGAGCAATGTTGGGGTCACCAAAGAAAAGAAGGGTTTGTAGGTTTGCAACTTCCTCTTCTTGAGGCTATTACAGCCCCATTTCTAGCTTCTCCTGAGGAGCATATCATCTCATGGAGAAGGGCGAGCAGGTGGTTTGCAGGTGACCTAGTGGAAGTGGACTCAGTTTGGACTGATGGCCAGTCATTTTGCCCTCCTGGGTCTGCTTTCTTTCTTTTTTTTTTCAAAGGTTTATTTATTTATGCATACAGAATTGGGGTACAGGTCAGAGGTGCAGGGGTGGTGAGAGGGCACACCAGAGACAGAGTGGGGAGCAGAACAGGCAGAACTGAAGGAGAACTGTGCTGAGGGGAACAGCGGGCGGGTCAGGAGAGGTCTGCCGCGTCATGTGGGTCAGTTCTGGGGCCGGAATTGAACTCATGCTGAAGCGGCTTTAGCTTCTCAGTGCTGTGCTTTAACCCACTGCGCCACCAGGGAGGGCCCGGGTTTGTTTTCTTACCTGTAAAATACAGACAATATCCCTGCTCTGCTAACTCAGAGGCTTCTTATACACTAATTAAGAGAAAAGTGTTGAAATTATGCAGGTTTTCATGGCTGGTATGATCAAGCTGTGAATTAGGGTTTTGGCTCCTTTTCACAGGGTAACAAGGGAGGAGTGGCCATCAGGTTCCAGTTCCACAACACCAGCATCTGCGTGGTGAACTCCCACTTGGCAGCCCACACAGAAGAGTATGAGCGGAGGAACCAGGACTATAAGGACATTTGCTCGCGAATGCAGTTTTGTCAGACTGACGCAGGCCTCCCCCCGCTCACCATCAGCAAGCATGAGTGAGTCCGGGCTTCGGCCCCAAACAGTTCTGAGGCCAGAGTGCTGGGCTCTCTGTCTGGTTGGGGAGGGCATGGTGGGGCTCCTGCCACTAGTCTGCCAGTCTCAGCCAACTCTCAGTTACATGTGGATTATAGCCTTTGAAAATGTTCAATTTCCTAACTCACCATCAGGCAGACCTCTGGAATCTTCTGCAAATCTCATTTGCCCCTGGAAAATGTAATGATTTGTTTGAATATGGTTCTGCCTTGACACCACATCATAAGGAAGTCAACTAGAGAGCCAGCAACTTAGACCCAGGCTTTAGAAGGGTGTCTCAGGGTTCTCTGCATCCCTTCTGGAGAATGTGTAGTTGACAGGTGTAGTTGCATCAGTCTGCCTTCTCTCAGTCTCTCATGCCTCTTGAGCCTGCTTTGCAGAGTTGTAGCTGTAGCTGCTTGGAGCATCTTATGCTAATTTTTGTCTATTCTCTTTTTTTCGTTTATCCTATGTCTAATCCAAGGCATATTAGAATTTCAGACTTTACAGTAACACTTGCAGGTTCTTTCATAAGGAGGAAGAAGCTGCTGGGCCCTGACGTTGCCAGGGAGCAGAGTCGGGCCTCCCATCCTGCCTGCGGCACTGTTGGAAGTGTCTTGAGCTCGCTGGGGTCTGAGGCTGAAGGAATGGCTTCCCTTCTGCGGGAAACCTCGCAGGGAGTGTGTCTTCCGTTCTGCTGTACCGTCAGCATCCTCACTGGTGAGGGTGCAGCTCGCATGTCTGTCTGCTTTTAGCTTGTCGTGAATTTCTTTTTTGTGTTGCTGTACAGATTCTCTTATGTCTGGTTGTTGGCTTCAGACAGAACAGTATTAGACTTTGTGGGATGTGTGGTGTCATCTGAGAACACTCGGTGATCTTTCCCCCCAAACAGCCTGTCTAATAGAACACCCGTCTCACTGCAAAAAGAGAACCAGCCGGTCATGTGGTAGTTTGATCCAGACTTCATGTAGAGCTTGGTTGAACTTCACTATTCAGTACAAACTTCACTTTTCTCAGAGGAACTCCACTCTAGAAACAAAGACTGAGAATGTGTCTTGTGGACTGAAGTGTGCGTGGGGGCAGAGGTGGCCCCCACATCATCTGGTTTGGGATCCCTGGGTATTTGACATGATCCTCACACTTGATCTTTTGTTGTCTATTCCCGGGAATGAGGTAAATAATTGTCTTGCTTATAGATCTTAAACTATCTGTTCAATTGTATAAGAATTAAACTACCCAGGAGAACTCAAGGCCATTTCTAATGAACTTGGACCAAGAAAATTGAGTAAGCAGAACATTAGACATGGTATTAATGGGATAGCTGGAGAAAATAAAATTCCTGAACAGCTGAGTCACTTCCTCACCCAGGTCCTATGAGACGGAGTCTCAGGGACCGTCTGAAGCATGCTGGACGGGACTAGTCAAGTCCCTCCCAAACCCTGTGACCTTTGTGCTCTGTCCTCACAGTGTGATCTTGTGGCTGGGGGACCTGAACTACAGGATAGAAGAGCTGGATGTGGAAAAAGTGAAAAAGCTCATCGAAGAGAAGGCCTTTCAAACCCTGTATGCATATGATCAGGTACAGATGGTCACCTGTGCCCTCTTCAGGCTCTGGCCTCCCACTGTGAGGGGACAGAGAAGCCTCAGCCTTTTCTTCCTCGACTTGGGGGTTTCCCTGAGGAGCTGATGTCCGGTCACTTCTTTCGCCCCTCCTGCCTCCCCAGCGGCCCTCGGTTTGTGGCACTCGTCTCCCTAGACAAGGGCATTTCTTTCTTTCTTTCTTGTGCTCTCTCTATCATTCTTTCAAGCTGAGGCTAGAAATAGACCAAACTTCCCATAAAGAAGAGATTCGATGTATTCAGATCACTTACCACTTACTCCATTTTTGACCATACTTCCTGCTGCCTCCCTTCTTCTCCTCAGCAGACTTGTTCAGTGTGAATGACAGCTCTTTTTCCCCGAGGGCCTTTCTTCCTTCCTGATGGGGGTCCATTCTGTGACCTGCTGTTCTACTCTATTGTTTGGGCTAGTGTTTTCCTCAAAGGTTAGCCTTATCATAGGACAAGGGGAACCTGTTTATGACTTTCTTTGGGTTAATTTTAATAGATTTCAGAATTGTCCAAGTGATCAGAATTATTCAAAATATTAAAGTCCTTTTTCTTTTTAGTCTGCATCACCATAGTATTGTCATTGGTCTAAATCTTTCTGTTCCTCACCCTTCCCGGTCAAGTGAAGACAAAAAAAATCTCAGATCAAGTGGAGACAAAAAATCTCAACTCTGTTTTATCTGTCTTTATTGTTTAGAGAGTATCTGCCATATTCTCTTTATTGACCCATTTTACTTTGCAACTCATTTCCTTAGTAAATTACTTTGATTCTCCATTTTCAGCATTAACCCAATCTGTTCTGCAACTATTACTTCTGGACTGAGGCATTATGAGTTCCCTAGTAGTTTAATCCCTATCTCCTCTGTTCCATTTTTCTGTCTTTCCTCAAGTGATAGTACCCATTTTTGTGTTCTCTGCTTTCCAAATGATCTTATTGCATATATATATCTACTTTGAAAGTCATCAACCTACAGAACAACTGTTAACTTAAGTCTTTTACTTTACTGTTGCCTTTTCTTTAATAGTTATTTTTTTAAGATTTATTTATTTATGCATACAGAACTGGGGTACAAGCCAGAGGTATTAGGGGTGAGAGGATTCACCAGAAAGAGTGGGGAGAGCAGAACAGGCAGATGTACTGAAATACACTGCTGAGGGGAGCAGTGGACAGGACAGGAGAGGTCTACCACGCCATGTGGGTCACCTCCCTGGCCAGGGATTGAACTCCATGCTGCAGTGGCTGTGGTAGCTTCGTAGTGCTGTGCTTTAACCTGTTGCACCACCAGGGAGGGCCCTAAGAGTTTGTTTTTTTAGGAATTCGTAGCTGGCCCTGTCTTCAACAGTAGAGTGCAGTTCTTCGCTAGTCCACGTGGTGCTCCAGGGAGGATGTGGGAACACCCTTTAATGGTCTTTAATCTCCTGCTGAGAATGAGCTCCTCCCAGAAAGGGCACCTAGAATTAGTGAACAGGAAGGAGGCTGGCTATCACTGTGTGTCAGGCACTGTCTGAAGTTGACAGTTCCTCTTTTCCGCAATCCTGTGAAGTAGATTCTAGTATAAATCAAAAATTTGCAGATGGGGAAACTAAGTCCAGCACCTTCCTCCGTTCACATAGGTAATTTGATAATTTAGTTCTCTGTATCACTGGAGCAACTGTGCTACAAAGATGAAATGTTTGGTAGTTGGAATGAGAAATGCTCTGAATGTTGGTCCATAACCCTTTAGAGATGTCCCAGTAAGACGGCACTCCAGCCCTGGGACCCAGGTACACTTACATTAAACAGCTGTACAACAGGAGGAGTGGTCGCCTTGCTGTGCTTCCTGGGAGCCAGTAAATTCCTTGTCCTATAGACTAGCTTCCTCACGGGCATTTACCCCAGGGTCAGGCTTCAGATTCCACGCTGATGTTCTTTCTTCCACTCCTTCAAGGTTTGGCCATTTTAATCTGAGATTCTTTTTTCTTCCATCCTTTTGTGTAGCTGAAAACTCAGGTGGCGGCAAAGGCTGTCTTTGAAGGCTTCACAGAGGGCGAGATCACATTCCAGCCTACCTATAAGTATGATACTGGCTCCGATGATTGGGATACCAGGTAGGTCAGAGGCTGCTGGAGGGGTGGGGCAACTGAAACCCAGAGCTTCTAGAAGGCACTTGCCCTTAGAGGCCTAAGAAATAATAAAGGTTTCCTGTCACTTCTTCCCCATGTTTTACATTCTTTTCAGGTATCTCCTCTTAGTATCTGCTCATTAAGCATGCTGCTTCCTACAGTTTTCTTTTTGACACCTCAGCCTTTGTTCAGTAACCATTCTTGACACTGATTCCTTTTCAACTCTGGTTAGGGTGATAAGATGATTCTAACTCATCTTGTGCTCAACCACTACATAGCAGTTAATACTTCTAACTACTTTTACTAAGTGCTTACAGTATGCCGTGCACTCTTGTGCACTTTACCGGTATTATCTCATTTAAACGTCTTAACCCACCGAGGTGTAAGTGTGATTTTTATTATCCTCATTTTATAAATTGAGGAACCGAAGCATAGAATAAAAGGACCTCCCAGGCAAACAAGTGGGAAAGCCAGGATTTGAACCCAGGGAGTAGAAGAATTGAGAGAGTCTGCTTTTTTTTTTTTTTTTAAAGATTTATTTGTTTGTACATACAGAACTGGGGTACAGGCCAGAGGCTGAGGGGTGGCGAGAGGCTTCACCAGAGACAGTGGGGAGCAGCGGCAGAACAGGCAGATCAACGAAGTACACTGCTGAGGGGAGCAGCGGGCGGGTCAGGAGAGGTCTGCCACGCCATTGGTCACCTCCGGGGCAGGCGGGAATTGAACTCATGCGGAAGTGGCCTTATCTTCTCAGTGCAATGCTTTAATCCGCTGTGCCACCAGGGAGGGCCCGAGAGAGTCTGCTTTAACCACCACCTTTAAAGGACAATAAAATACCCTCTCAGAGTACCTCTTTGCCTCTCACCTGATGGTCCACATAGGCAGGTAAAGAGCAGAAAATCAGGCTGAACAGCATTTTGGCTTTGAGCGTTCACGTTCATTTGGAGTGACACGTGTTACCACATAGTGGGCCTGAGCCTTGCCTGGCCTCTCAGCTCACTGGCCTCTGCCCCGACCTACCCTAGTTGACCTCAGGCACTAGTCAGATATGCCCAGTGTGGACTTTGCATTTCAGTGAGAAGTGCCGAGCTCCCGCCTGGTGTGACCGGATCCTCTGGAAAGGGAAGAACATCTCTCAGCTGAGCTACAGGAGCCACATGGCCCTGAAGACCAGTGACCACAAGCCCGTCAGCTCCGTGTTTGACATTGGGGTAGGTAGGCAGCTGCTTGCTGTGGGGAGTCGGTTCTTACAAATAAGGCCACTTTTGCGTTTCTCATCTACTCCTTTCCCCCGGCAAGCAAGGAAGTGCCCCTTAAAGACTTTATATTTAAATTTAATCAGTAATTGTTTCAGTACATGTCTATATGTTTCTATATACATAGTTCTCCTTTGCTTTTGCACTGTGTTTTTCCAGACTTTTTTTCTATGTATATACACATGAGTGTGTCAGTATTCTGTATACAACCAAGAAGATGTTTTTTTCCTTTTTTGTAAAAGAGATGATATACATACTGCTCTGAGAATATCTTTTCTTTCTAACTGGTTATTTTTTAGGAGATCACTCCATGTCAGCTGAGATAGAACTCCTTCCTCATCACCTTAAAGGCTGCAAAATATTCCACAGTATGGATGGAGCATAGCATACATATATATGAGTGTGTGTGTGTTGATCGTTTTAGTTGTTTTGCTGTTATATAGAGAGCCGCAGTGATCACACTTCATATATATCCTTGTATAACACTCTGGGAATTTCTAGAGAATGAAATTTCTAGAAGTGAAATTAGTGATAAAAAAAATGTATCTTAAGCTTACTAGACCCTGTTAAATTATCCTCCCTGTATTCTTTGCCATTGTAGACTCCTGCCAGCCATGTACACACTTCCCAAACCCTGGCAAATACTGGGTTTTATCAATTCAAATTTCTACCAACCCACTGAGCAAATAGAAAGAGATACTTTGTTATTTTAGATTATATTTGCCTGGTTACTAATTTGGTTAAACATCTTTTCCTTCATTTATTGTGTGTCTGTATCTTCAGTGAGTCATTTTCTTTAGATTACTAAATCTCAACAGTGCAGGTGTGGGCTTATCAGGACACATAGATATATGCACCCTGAGAGGCAAGGAGGCAGATAGGGTAGCTTGAAAAACTCTGATGGGTGTTATAATAAAAATTATTATTATTGGAGTGTGAAAAAATTTTGTTGACAATTAAAAATACAGAAAGGAAAGCCTGGCAAAATCTTGACAGAACATAGGTTAAAAACATTTTGAGAAATGCTGCTTTAAGTCAAAGCCCTAGAGAAGTTTTTCACCATAAGCCTGTTGGAAGCAGCAAGCAAATAAAGCACAACACTGGGCCTCTTGGCGCTGGCTGGAGGCCTGATGGGACCGCCACAAGCGTTGGCTCTGAGTCGCTCTTCTTTCCGCTAATCGGGAAGCAGTTGACTTAACCACAAACTTTGCCTCTGGGAGACCCTTCTGCATCTGTTGTTACTTGGGTTCATTGTTAACTGAGTCAGTCTTCACTCTCAGTGTTGCCGTGAACTGCTGTTGGCCAGCGCCATGAGTGTTACCTAGACTGCATAGGAGGGACGGGTACTCAGATGCTGCGGTCTCCCTTCCAGGTGAGAGTCATAAATGAAGAACTTTATCGGAAAACTCTGGAGGAGATTGTTCGCTCCCTGGACAAGATGGAAAATGCCAACATTCCTTCTGTGTCTCTTTCAAAGCGAGAGGTAGGGAGGACATGTGAAGAACATTGGTGTCAGGGTCTTCTATTCATAGATCTTAACACCTCTTCTACTAGGGCTGAGCATTTTAGGAGATACCTATCTGACAGTTGGCCTCTAGTCTTCCTTAACAGGCTGCTTCTAGATAAAGTGAGGCTAATGGTGCTAATTGAGAAGAGAGGGTTATTGGTTGAGTACCTTCACCTCCCGATCTTCTAAGATAGAAGCCTGTAATCTTTTGTGGCTCTCTAAGCTAGAATCATAGTCCCCTCTCCCCCATGGACCATCTATAGATTCAACAATGATCTAAATGATCCCAAGTGTGTTTTGTTTGGGTATAACTGCAGTGTATTCTTGCAACAGGTCTGTCTCCCTTCTCTGTCTTTGTCTTACTATGGGATTGAGTCAGTACTTCTTGGGTACACATGAGTCAGTGGGAGGAATGGAGTAAAGAAAAGTGGTGGACAGTGGGAGAAGTCGAGTTAGTGCTAAAGATTTTTCCTGCAAGAGGCACAGCTTTGGTCATTCAGAATTGACAATACCAAGAAATTAATCAAATGGATATATATGCTGAAGGTATTTTTAATGTTCCTATTGGGTGCTCAGCTACTAGGAAAGATAAGCTTGGTCTTCATATTTGGAATTTGTAAAGGGTGTTTGGAATGGTCTTTTTATAGAAGATTTAAAGTTTGGTTCCTTCTGGAAATTCACTTATGAAAGAACATGAGGCTTTTGAGTTTCTGGGTTAAACACATATAACTGGTAGCTGTGGCCTCCCAGACAAATACTTGCAGCAGAGCATTGGTTTGGAAGAGGTGGTCCTTCAGTTCTTTCCAGGGAAGGTCTCCTTAGGCGGTGTGGCTGGGAAGTCACTGGTAGGAGGGCACTGGGCTGACTGGGCCTGGGCTTGTTCCCAGTTCTTTTTTCAGGATGTGAGGTACATGCAGCTGCAAGTACAATCCTTTACAATTCATAATGGACAAGTTCCCTGTCAGTTTGAATTCATCAACAAGCCCGATGAAAAGTCATATTGTAAGCAGTGGCTGAATGCCAACCCCAGCAGAGGGTTCCTCCTGCCAGGTAAGGCCTCTCTGTTCTACTTTCCCAGTTTGGAGAATGCCTTACCCTGTTCACACTTCCTCCCAAATAAGCCTTTTGTTTCTGGGTATTTTGTTGTCTGCGTGAAACTCTTTGTAAGTTGTGGGGCCCTCCCTGGTGGTGCACAGGTTAAAGCACAGCATATGAACCTCTCAGCAGCTACTGCGGCACGAGTTTGATCCCCGCCCAGGGAGCTGAACCACAAGGTGCAGCAGACCTCTCTTGTCTTACCCTTTGCTCCCTTTAGCAGTTGTATTTCAGTAGCTCTGCCTGTTCTGCTCCCCACTCTGTCTCTGGTGAATCCTCTCACCCCCACGCATCTCTGGCCTGTACCCTAGTTCTTGTGTGCATAAATAAATATTTTTTTAAAAAGAAGAAACTCTTTGTAAGTCTTGGGGATGAACCATCCACAAATAAAATAGAAGAGCGAGGAGTCAGGAGCTGAATTTGAAAAGCATCCCCAGTCACGTGTACATTCACATGTTCCGTAATTTCACAGAAAAACCTGTGGAGTAGGTGCTGCGTTAAAGGGCCCTTTACTGTCTGCCTCATGCCCCCCAATATGCTGCTATTGTGGGGAAAGGTAATGGGGCGATCATCCAGGAGTTTTATCTGACCCTGGGAGGTACCGTCCGCCTTCCCCCAGCTTCTCTCTCCCACTCTGTCATGCTGTGCAGCCGAGGATGAAACCTGTTTTGTGACCATTCACAGACTGCTAATTACACTGTACCTTCTGCAGGGCCAGGCATCTCCATCTGACTTGACTTAGGGCGGCCTCTGGGGCCCATGCCTTCTTTGGGCTATCAGTAAAACTTCTAGCTTGAGCTATGTGCTTAGTGCCTGAGTTTTATAGCATTTGCTTGCTCATGTTTGCGTAAACATGTTTTTGTTTGTTGTTTTCATGTTTTCTTTTGGACTGGAAGCTCCTTGTTCTTCTGTGTCCTGCCTGTGGGATGCAGAAATACTTGTTGATTGGCTGATATCTCTTATTTCCATTCCCTAACTCTGACCCTTCTGCTCTCTTGCCTCCTCTCCCTCTCTCCTGTTGGTCTCCTGCCAACCCAACATTGCTTTTTAAATTTTTCTTCAGATTCTCACATTGAGATCGAATTGGAGCTATTTGTCAATAAGACCACCGCTACAAAACTCAACTCGGGAGAAGACAAAATTGAGGACATTCTGGTTTTGCACTTGAATAGGGGAAAGGATTACTTTTTGTCTGTGTCTGGGAGCTACCTGCCCAGTTGCTTCGGGTCGCCCCTCCATACACTGTGCCACATGAGGGAGCCAATCTTGGACCTGCCCCTTGAAACTGTTAGAGAGCTGGTGAGTGACGTGCCACAGGAAACACCTAGAACTCTGTAGCTGCCAAGCCAGTCGCGCAGGATAACCCTCTGCATACCTTCCCCGGCGCCTGAGGATTCTTCAGCACCCCGGAGCTTGCTTACTGTAGCCTTTAGATAATGCTGTATAGTCAGTGACCCTGAAACTGTAGCAGTTTAAACCACCAAGTTACTCCTGCTTGTGACCTTGTGAGTCTTCAGTGCAGCTGGCCTCACGTAAACTCTTCCAGACTGTTAACAGTCAGATGGCAACAAGTTGTGAAAGTGGCCTGAATTCAGGAGTGGGAGAATGCCACCTCTCTATGGGAAAAAACTGCCAAATGTTGTCATCTTTCCGCTTTTTGTATTTAGCATATTAGAGAAACTCGGCCATGGATGCTAAGACCATGACGGTTCCCTGGACCCTGTTATTATTCCTTTGGTTTGTTTTAATCATTACTTCATATTTTGTCATCCTAAACTTAATTTTCTGAGATTTTAAAAGACTCCTATGAAGGTAATTCTAAGACAAGAAAGTTAGTTTGATGCAGACTTATGGTAGTGTGTATGCTTTTTTCCCTTTCAATGCATTTTTTTATATAGGAACTCTTAAACACTATACTCTCCATTACATTATGAAGCCAGGGGAGAGTGTTTCGCCACATGGTGAGTTAACACTGGGTCTGGACCATGCACGAGGTTATTTGGACTCCTGAGGCTATACTCTTCACCAGACCTCACTTTCTCTCTGGTTCTGACAGTGCAATGCTATAAGCAGGATATTTTTTCTAAGATGATATATATTTCACCTGACTAGTTAAAACTGCTTGTCACAACCGACTCAGCAGTTCTCAGACAGCACCTTTGTTTCTTGATTGTGCCACCTGGGTTTATTTTTATCTGTGGAATGTTTACCTGGGGTGTTGAAAAGCTCCCCTACTTCATGGAGTTACCATCCCTATATCATGCATCCTCCTGAAGCCACCCTGGCAGAAGTTCCATTGGTGGCCTTCTTATCACAATTTTTTTTTCTTTTCAGACTCTGATGCCACTTCAGGCTGAAGGTGATGGAGATCCATTGACAAACCCCTTGGAAATTCCCAAAGAGCTCTGGATGATGGTTGACTACCTGTACCGCAATGCCATCCAGCAGGTAGGTAGTGGTGAAGCAGTCACACCTGGCTGAGCCCAGGTTGATGTGAGAAAGATCATCAACTGCAAGAACTTTGCTATTAAAAGCTTTGACACTAAGGCACCTGGGGAAAACGGTTCTTCCCTGGGAAGTGATGAGGGACAGGTTGGTTCACGTTTCACACCTGGTGAGACCCTGCTCTTACAGTCAGTGGTTCCCCAGGAAACCAGACCTGCATAGGATGGCCTGTCAGCATCACTTGTCCCCTCCCCTGGCCTGTGGGGCCCCCTAAGGAGAACACCATCCAGAGGCTTCTCAGGATGTCAGCCTGCTCTCCCTTCTAGGAACTCTCCCCAGCTTCTGAGAATGGGACAGCCTGACTTATTAACAAGATAGGCAGAGGCAGGAGCCAGATGGGACTCCCCCGTCTTGAGTCAGGAGGCCTGCTTTCTAGAATGACTTGGGCAAGCTTCGTGGGATGAAATTAGTTATCCCTGTTCAATTATGATTGGTCAAACCTATTCACTGGATAGGTTGATACAGGTCTCAGGGAGGTCATACAAATAATCTAACAAAGTGCTGCCACTTTGGAGTAACATAGGAGTATCTTTTCATTTTCTCTTCCCTCACATTTATTGAGTATATACCAAATACTATTCTAAATGTCTTTACAGCATTGTCTCATTTAGTAGCTTTTAGACGAGGAGCCATGTCCAGAAAGGTAACAGAATTTGGTCAAGGTCCCAAAACTGGTAACTGGACAGGCTTGGGATTTAAATCTAGGAAGTCTGGCTATAGAAGTCATTGTGCATTCTGTTATGCATTCTGCTTTCTGAACAGAGCTCCTCTTAAGAGTTAACCTTTGAGCAATATATATAACATTGTTATTAATACAGTTACACACCAGTGTCACAGAACAGTGTATGTAAAGCAGATACTGTTTGCCATAATCTTGTTTTCACAAAGCTCTGGAGTACTTTTTAAGCTTTCTCCATCTTATGATGTGTTTTCTTCAGTTTTTCTTTTTCTGGTAAGCTTTCCAGTACACTGTAGGCAACTAGCTACCATTATAGTTTCCCTGCCTTACCCATAGATTAATAGTAGATGCTATATCACTGTAAGGACCCCCTCTGGGAGCATGCCTGGGAAGTTTTCTGTAAGATGAATTAGCCACATCAACATAAATCAGATTGTCAACCGTGGTGATTCATAGGCCTTATTATACTAATCCTTTTTGTACTCTGCTGGTGATTATATTTCTAAGTCAAGAACTCATTGATGATTTTCTGAGAATAATTTGTGACTCTCTAATTTTTGCAGGAAGATCTGTTTCAGCAGCCAGGCCTGAGGTCGGAATTTGAGCGTGTCAGGGACTGTTTGGATAAAGGAATGATTGATAACCTGTGTATCCTTCCAATGTATGAGTGGTATGTGTGTGTATGAATATGCATAAGACAAAAACAGGAAAGAATAATTTAAGGCTCAAAATATGATGTGTCTTCCCCGAACATGTTTTTCTTACTTCAAATAAGAACTTAGAGGACATTTTACAATCGTAAGCATCCCATATCATGGGAATTCAGGAGGGCCAGCTTAGCTGATAGACAGCTTGGCCCCTTCAAGATGCCAGGCTGGCATCCTTCCTCTGGGCAGGGAGCCTAGCTGGGCAGGCAGGCAGCACGTCTGGCAGGTCCCTGCTCCTGGGCTTTTTGTGAACCGCAGCAGCATCCTCTTCTGTTCCTTAACGAGGGGCTACCAGCCGCTAGCAATCATTCCGTAGCCGAAGCCTTGCTGCTTTTCCTAGAGAGTCTGCCAGAGCCCGTCATCTGTTACAGTGCCTACCATAACTGCTTGGAATGTTCTGGCAACTTCACAGCAAGTAAACAGGTGAGGGGAAGTGTTGAGCATCAGTGTACACATGTCATAGATCCAGGCCCCTTGGGACCTGAGGGAACAAAGTAGGTGCATCTCCTCAGAGTCAGTGTCTTAGAAACTCCATGTTTTGCCTTCCCAAACCCGTTCTTCCTCTCATCTCCCTTTTTCTTTTAATGACATCAGCTTTAATTCCAAGACTCAACCCAGAAACCTGAGTCACTCCTGACTCTCCTCCTCTCACCTCCCACACGCCCAGTCACCTTGACTTGTCACTGTCTTCCTTTCTCAGGCCACTTTGCTGGCTCACAGTCCCCCACCCAGGCTCTTCCTCTGTTGAGTTGCTTTGAACACTGCTGTCAGGTTGTGCATTCTAAAATTTTCATGTGACTTGGCTGTCCAGTGCCAATTTATTAAACAAAATTTTTAGAAAATTTTGTTTAAACAAATTTTTAGAAAAGATTTATTTTTTTAAAAGATTTCTTAAACAAATTTTTAGAAAAGATTTATTTTTTTAAAAGATTTATTTAATTTATTTATGCATACAAGAGCTGAGGTGTAGGCCAGAGGGCTGGGGGAGAAAGGGATGAGGATAGACTGGGGAGCAGAATAGGCAAATCTGCTAAAATATACTGCAGAGGGGAGCAGTGGGCAAGACAGGAGCAGTCTGCTGCTTCTTGTGGGTCAGCTTGTTAGGGATGAAACTCGTGCTGCAGTTGCTACCAGTAGCTTCATATTGTGAGACTTAACCCCTTGAGCCACCAGGGAGGCCCTGAAGCCCAGCTTTTCTTAAACAAATGTTTGAAACTTTTAATGATCTAGCCTACTGGTTCATACATACTACAGGCCAAAGCAAAGTGATCTAGAAAACTGGTTAAATAGTACAGGTTCTAGAACTGCCACTCACATCTACTAACTCAGAGTCTCTTTTAGAATATATTTTCTACAAGCTTGTCAACTAATTTGGACATGCAGGTAGCAGGAGTAGTCACTGAGTCCCAGCCCGATCAGTCCTTCATTGCCTGTTCAAACAGTGGTGGTCCTGCTATAATTGACTTCTCACAGTGTGTTCTCTCTATACATCTCACGGCTTTCTTTCTCAAACCCCTTTTAAAAACACCTTCATTTGTCTTGAAACTCCTTGTTCTTAACCTCTGCAAGCACTAAGTTGTCTGATATTCAAGACTCAAGACTAAAATGTCTCCTATTCCCTTAAGTCTATTGAGAGCACATAGTTAGAAGTTTGACTTCTACAGGGTGCTTCGTCTGTGCTGCTCTTTCTGCAGTTGTAATCTGATCACATTTGATCAGATTTTTATGAAGACCATTTTTTTAAAAGAGTATTTATGCATACAGAACTGGGATACAGGCTAGAGGTGCAGGGGTGGTGAGAGGCTTCACCCGAGACAGAGTGGGGAGCAGAACAGGCCTACTGAAGAAGTACACTGCTGAGGGGAGCAGCGGGGTTGGGTCAAGAGAGGTCTGCCGCACCGTGTGGGTCACCTCCAGGGCTTGTGGGGATTGAACTCATGCTGAAGTGGCTTCAGCTTCTCAGTGCGTGCTTTAACTTGCTGCACCACCAGGGAGGGCCCTGAACACCATTTTACTCGTATGTTCATATCATGTGCTCAGCTCCTAATGACAGCAAGCACTTGACAAATGATTGGATGAGCAAAAACATATATCCCATTTCTTCCTCTCCCAGGTCATTTCTACTCTGCCTGCAGTTCACAAAAATGTCTTCAACTATTTGATGGCATTTTTGCAAGAATTGCTGAAAAATTCAGCAAAAAATCATCTGGATGAGAATATTCTAGGTAAGCATCTTCCAGTGTCTTTGGAAAACTTCTCTGCAAACTAGAAACTCATTATGAGAATGTGGTGGAGAAAGATCCCAAGTTCATTGCAATGGAACTTAAATGTCAAGATCTAGGTGAAGGTTAACCTCAAATAGCATTTTTTTTTTAAAGATTTATTTATTTATTCATACAGAACTGGGGTATAGGCCAGAAATGCAGAGGGTAAGAGGATTCACCAGAGACAGAGCAGGGAGCAGAACAGGCAGATCGACGAAGTACACTGCTGAGGGGAACAGCAGGAGAGTCAGGAGAGGTCTGTCGCGCCATGTGGGTCACCTCCATGGCAGTCACCTCCGTGGCAGGTGGGAATCGAACTCATGTGGAAGTGGCTTAAGCTTCTTAGTGCTGTGCTTTAACCCGCTGCGCCACCAGGGAGGGACCTCAAATAACATTTTTTAAAAATTATTTTGATTGAAGGTACTATGACTTATAAGGCTGTGCATGTTTAGGAGTCTAGGCTCATGTCCTTTCAAACATAGGCTTTCAGGCCACTTCTACCACCAAAGCACTAATAGTCCTGTACCATAGTCCCTTGGGCCCTTTCCCCACTTGCTCCTTACTTCCTTCCACTGCCCCATCCTTTAGCTGTGTTCTGTAGTCAGATTTTAAGGGTTTCTTTTTGTTTGACTCAAATAGTTTTTTTTTAATTTATTATTATTATTATTTTAATTTTATAAGAGTTTATTTTTTACATCATTTTGTAAATTTTTTTGTACATTTTGTACATTTTTTTTTTCATCTCAATTGTAATCCCCGCGGGTTTCCCATCACCAAGTCCCCCATGTGCCATCACCAAGTCCCGTGCACTTCCCTCCCCACCCCACCCCCGTTTTTGATCCCATTCTTTTTTTTTGTTTTTGTTTTTTCAGCAGAAAATATTGCCTTAGGACATCCCTCCCCATTCTTAACAACTCAAGAATAAGTTGTACTTCTTATGCTGAGTCATTTGTTTTCTGTATTATTCACACAGCTAGCATATTTGGCAGCTTACTGCTTCGAAACCCAGCTGGTCACCAAAAGCTTGAAATGGCAGAGAAGAAGAAGGCGCAAGAATTTATTCACCAGTACCTCTGCAACTCAGCCTGAGCCTCTTTAGCATCTCGTCTACTTTGCCTGAGGTAGCCAATTTCCAGCCCCACCTGTTTCAGCTCCGGAGCTGCCTTAAGAGGATATGGGCCTCTGGGGACAAGAGTGGCAGCTGCCTGTTTCTTGAGCCCACAACCTCTATCACACTCAGAGCTACTGTGAGTTGTGAAGCCATCAGGGGGAGACCCACCACTCTAAAACTGACATTCAGTGTTCAACTTTAGTTATTTAACACAGTTAGAGCCCTTTTTTAATTTTAAGAATGCTTAAATAACTACTTGTGTGCCCTCAACCTGCCTCTAGGGCACAGCGAGTGCCTTCCCTGTTGCAGGGCTGAGTCCCCAGGGTCAGATATTTGAACATACTTTGGAGTCTTGAAGGGAGAACAAGTTGGGCAGCAAGAATGCAAGTGAAAGCTGCTGGATAAACAAACCACAATCACTCCAGATGCTTCTAGTTCTCTGTCTGAGGACCTCTGTATGCAGATGCAAGCCCTATCCCCCCCCCCCCCAGATGTGGCTCAACAGCTCTGGGGCTAGCCACGCAGCCGCTGAGGGCAATACAGTGGCTTGAAAAATGAAAACTGAAGAAATGGATGTTCTGGTGAAACAAGTGGGATTTTCTGGGCCAGCAAATCCTTCAAACTGTATATGATGCATTCCCTCTCTTATAATTGTAATATATTTTAATGATAAATGTATTTTTAACAGTGGTCGTTTGCATGTTTTTTTTCCCCCCTCTTATGAGAGCAGTTCTCAGCAAGCTAAATCTTTGTAGCTTAAACATTGGTCAGAGGCCAAAGAGGCATTTGCCTGGCAGCAGTGATTACAGTCACTGTTCATATTTTTCAAGGGAGAGAGATGATACATGCATGGCTCCATCCTCCTGATCCCGATGTAGTCTGAGGGGAGGTGTCCTGGGCTTGAGTATTTTAGAAAGGGGGCGTAAGAGGAAAACGGGCAGTGGCTGCTGGGAGGCTCTAACAAACAGATTTTCCAGGCATTTAGAAAACACAGCATAATGAAACACACGTGGAATCGCTTCGTGGGCACCGGAAGACCACTCCTCCTTGGTTGTATAAGACGCGATTTACTTTCGGACCAGTGGGCTGTCAGTGTGAACGTTACAGAAAGGGAGTGGCCAGTAGGTGGCGTTGACCAGCCGGGCGCCAGCCTGTGAACGCGGACAACCTTCGGCAGTAGAAAAAGTTGGGACCGACAGCCGGGCAGGAATGTGTGGAGGAAGGGAACGGGGCAGCTTAGGAGCCCGGGTGCGGCGGCGACTTCGGGCTGAGCTTGGAATATTTCCTAGTTCTGCCTTTTGGATCTAGTTTTCCTTTCGTGAACCCCCGTTTGAAGGGGAAGCTGGGGCCAAGGAGGGAGAAACACCGGAATGTCAGCCCCGGGCTCTCCCTTAGTGGGCCCGAGCGGGAATGCAGAGGGAAGTCGTGGTGCCCGCGGCAGTGTGACTGCCGGCGAGGAAGGCCGGCGCGAGGCCGGCCGAGGTCACTTCAGATAAGTGGTCGGGGTCGAGCCTGGTGCCGCGGGAGCGACGCCCATCCTACGCGCACTCTGCGGACGCGGGCGCTCCCTGGCCGCGGGCTGCCTCGCCGCCCGGCTGTCTTCGCGGAGCCCCGCCCCGTCCCTCGCGCTCGCCAATTGGAGACGCGAACTCGCCTCCTAAACCAACCAGGAGCTCCGGCGGGGGGCGGGGCGGGCATCGCCCCTTTCCTCCGGAAAGCGGAAGCGGAAGTGACGTTCGGGGGAAGGTGGGGGCAATCATGGTGCCGCTGGGGAGGGGAGAAGCTGCCGCTGCCGCCGTTGCCGGGAGCCGCGGAGGTAAAAGGCGAAACTAGACGCGGCCTGGGCTGGGGACTTGCCGGGGCGCGCGGGACTTCGGCTCCCTCTTGAAGCATTTCCCAGTAGAGATCCCAGTACCTCACCAGAGGGACCCCACCCCTCCTCCGTTTCCATGGGGATGGGTATCCAGCCCCCCTCCCCTGTTTCCATGGAGACCCGGACCCTGCCCCTCATCGCCGGCTTGGAGCCCCCCAGCTGTCTTCGGGTTTTTTCCGTTTAGCTGGTGGCCGGGGGCTATCCCAGACAGGTTCCTTTGCCCAGCCTTCTCTCAGGGGTGCTCCGTTTGTACTCCTCGTTGGTCACCTCAAACCTCCTGGTCTTGTTTGTTCCGGACAGTTGGTCTCTGTGTTGCCTTTGATGGTGTCGGGGCAGCCCAGTGGGGCCCCCGGTGCGCTTATCTCTCCTCTCAGATGCAGCGAAATGTACATCTCCCGGGTTGCGTAAGCCAGAGCAAGGGGTCGGGCCGGTTCCTCCCGGATCCGATCCCTTGGCCTGTCTTTGATAACTACCCCTCTGTCTATCTTCCCCACTAAGCGGAAAGGCTCACCTTCTAACCCAGAGCAGCAGAGGAAGGTAAAAAGTGCAAAGCCAGACTGAAAACTGAAAGTGATGCGCCGATTATTTGAAATATCCTCTCTTCTGATTGCCAGACCCACGTTTGTAGAATCTCTGTGTTTGTAGGTAAAGAAAGAATCGATATTCCAGAAAAAGAATGCTTCAAATTTGGTATTTCCCCCAAGAGAGTATTTCTTCCCAACTAGTTGTTCTGCAGGTCTTTCATTCATTTAACTGTCATCTTTGAAGTCCTGGTGTCAGTGTGCTGTGCTAGGGGCAGTAGAAACAAAAATAAGACCCATCTCTCCTTCCCCCCCGGAAAGCACACGATACACGCATAGGTGGACACCAGATTGTTCTAGGTGATAATGAAGGATCGTCAATAGGTATATCTGCTTCGGGATCAATCCTTTGCCCAGAGCTGAAACATCTTTCCAGGAAGAAGGGAACAAAGTCACATTTTCTCTATTAGTGTCAGAAATTGTATTTTAACAAACATTATCTCTTGTACTTTGAATAACAATTTTGAGGGAACAGGAATTACCAATCCCACTTTACACATAAGAAAAACTATATCCAGAAAAATGGGTACCCAAGATGTAGATAGGTGACCCTGCCTCCAAAACCCTGCTCCTTCCAGCACTGACTTGGGGAATATCTGAGTGAGGATTCTTTAGTTTCACATTTGTCGCAATTCAGCTTGAAAGAAGTTTGTGCCTTTATCCCTCTCAGATATTTTGACCAACCTTAAATTGTTTGGCAGAAAGGGACATTTGGAAGCTCTGTGAACTGCTACTTACTACAGTTTTTTTAAAAACTCATTGCTTTTCCTTTAAAATGACTTAATGATTTCAATGTTAAACTTATTTCCAAGCAGATTGCTTTTTATTTTCTATGGTCTTCTTTGGAAATGAGAGGGGGAATGTGCTCTGTGGTTGCTGAGGAGGTCTCTGGGTCCTGTGGTAGGTTCTCATTTGGCTTTGTTCTGTTGCAGACAGGTCATTACCTTTCCATTTCTCACAATTGGGCTGAACACGATTGAACCATGGGGGAACACAGTCCAGACGACAACATCATCTACTTTGAGGCAGAGGAAGATGAGCTGACCTCTGATGACAAGATGCTCAGGTTTGTGGATAAAAACGGACTGGTGCCTTCCTCATCTGGAACTGTTTATGATAGGACAACTGTTCTTATTGAGCAGGACCCTGGCACTTTGGAGGATGAAGATGATGATGGACAGTGTGGAGAACACTTGCCTTTTTTAGTAGGGGGTGAAGAGGGCTTTCACCTAATAGATCATGAAGCAATGTCCCAGGGTTATGTGCAACACATTATTTCACCAGACCAGATTCATTTAACAATAAACCCTGGTTCCACGCCCATGCCAAGAAATATCGAAGGTGCAACCCTCACTCTGCAATCGGAATGTCCAGAAACAAAACGTAAAGAAGTAAGTAAAGCGGGGGGGGGGGGGGGGGGGGGGGGGGCAATTGTGCCTTTGGGAAAAGTTTATACTTAACCTTTGGTTGGCAGTTTATTGGGGTGCAGGGAGTCCTTGGAATTTGCTTTGCTTGTTGACAGTAGATTAGCTTTTTTGTCTGCATGTAACTGCTTTCTGGAACTTTGGTTTGTGTGGCTACACTGAAATATAGGGAAATTAAATTATAATTTTTCAATATTCCTCACCAAGATAAAATAAAATAGAAATTTCTCTGAGGTAAATCCATGTTTCTATGTGGAAATAACTAGATTCAGCTTACCTCTGTTTTTGGAGATGAATGCTTACTAGAATATGCCTTATCATCTTAGTGACTAGTTACTGAATAATAAAGGTTACCTTTCATAAGAAATTCAAGCAAGAGATAGTAAACGAGGACAAGTTATCTAAAATATGTTTTCATGCTCGTATTTAGCTAATGTGAGCAAGTGCATCTCATAATAAGTGCATCTCTGAACACTGTAAAACATTGTACAAATTGTACAAGGAACTGATTTTGGGTCAGTTAGAAAACAATAAACCACTGATCATTGCAATGCCGGGGACAAACTGTAAGATAAGGTAATTTATTCAGTAATGTTTTTTCTTTTGCTGTAATTAAGGTCTTGGAAGAGGAGGATCCTGTTATTCAAGGCTAATGGCTTTTCCTTTGCTAATCTTGGGTGCTCAGAGCTAGAAGGAATCCTAGTGAGACCATCTTGCCCTACCTCCACCCCATGCAGGAATCTGTACAGCATTTTTGTCTGTTCTCTGCTTGAACACTCTTGAATGACAAGATCACAGTGTTTCACAGCCCAGCCTAATACATTTGTTGGCCAGCTCTAATTGTTAGAAAGCTTTACTTGTATAGAGCCAAAATCTGCCTTTCTACAGTCACTGCCCAGTGGATCTAGGTCTGTTCTGTCTTCCTGAACAACAGCAAGTTAAACCTTCTCTCACAGAACAGCCCAAAGTCATTTAAAATGGGTTTCTTTTCATCTTCTCTTGTATAAGCTGAAACACCTCTAGTTTAAATATTCCCCTAGTTTCTCATCAACTTGGTCACCTTTTCTCTGAATTCCAAAGTCCTCCTAAAATTCATAATTGAGCACAATTTCACAAATGTGACTCAACTAGCACTGCATACTGTGTGTGACTTTCCTCTCTTAATTTGGACACTACTATAATTATTGTGTAGTCTCATTTTAGTAGCAATAACAGTATACTATTAGCTTAGACTTGGCAGCTTCTAGACTAGCGATTCTTAATTGGGGGCAGCTTTGCCCCTCAGGAGACATTTGGTAATGTCTGGAGACTTTCTTGGGTGTCACACCAGGGAAGTGCCACTGGTATTTAGATGGGAGCCGAAGATCCTTTTGACGTTCTAAACTGTACAAGATGTCCCCCCTACCACATTTGGCTCGACATGTCAACTGACTGTGTTCCGGTAAAATTTTATTTACAAAACAGGCAGTGGGCCATATTTGACCTGCTGGTTGTAGTGTGTTGACCCCTGGACTAGAACATAGCTAAGCGGAAGATCAGCGTTGAAAGATAACAGATCCACATATGGAAGGCAGTGATGGCATGCTCAGGGTTTTGGACTGGATTTGTTCTGGAAATGATGGGAATCATTCAAAGTGCCTAAGCCAGGAAGTGATACACGGCCTGAGTAACATTTTAGAGGGATTGCGCTGGTAGCAGTGGTAGCTTGATTCTTGATTGTTGAGTTAGGAGGTACTCATAGTTAAGGTTTTGGAGCATTTGAGTCTCGATGAAGGATTTTTACCTTGTTCAATAGAAACAATACAGAACTCT